TACATGAAGTGTGTCTAAACTTTTGACTTAGTGTATTTTATTTGGAGTCATTGGCGCAGTGCTCAAGACACAAATGAGGTCTCTATAATATCTCAATTTTTTAGCAATAAGATTAAATGGAGAGAAAAATGAGAGAAAAATTTGTCTTTAAAAATGTATATTTTCTATACTTTCAGAAGGCACTGCAATCTATAATTATAGTATTACTGTACACTATTATTCAAAAGTTTGGGGTTAGTAAGAAATGCTTTTATTCAGCAAGGATGCACTAAATTGACCAAAAGTGACTGTAAATATAATGTAATACAAAATATTTATATTTCAAATAAATGTTGTTCTTTGATGTTTATCAAAGAAACCTTAAAAAATGTATTATGGTTTCCACAAAAATATTAGGCAGTAACATTGATCATAATTAGGTGCGCTCCGATTGATCGGCCGATAATCACGTTGGGATGATTGATCGGCGGTCTCTAAAAAGGCAGATCTCAAAAAAACGATCTCAAGCTGATGACGCTGCTGTGAGAGGTTTGGCACGACATGCAGCGGCACCGTCTCAGTCTCTGTCCGGTGCGGGTAAAATAATTATAATGCTGAAGGTGAGGTACTCACCTTCATATTTCTTCATTAAATAACTTAAAGTAATTTGAAAACCTTGTGTGAGACGTAATTTCACAAACAGCGTGAGTGAATCACCGCGCGCGCTCTCTTTCTCTCTCAAAATACGCAAATGGCTTCAAATCACCACACATCGCGTCTGTCTATAAGCGAGCTGCACGCTGCACAGTTGACACAGGAATTGTCACTTTACAATCGAGGCAGTGTCACATCGTCACTAAAGTTTATAAATTGCGTTACTTTTTAATTCTTGCCCGTGTTAAAACCATTCAGCGCTCGCGCGCTCTCATGGAGACCATGCTCTCATGCACACTCGCAGTGCACACATAATGCCAGGTTCACATTACTCCGTTTGCAGTGTGTATGTGGTGCGTATTTTTTCCGCGCTCATGTTAACGGATTAATAAAGCGTTCACACTGCGCATGGTTGCGGTCCAGCAGTGCGTTCAGGAGCGGTACGTCTGCAGCAGTGCAGAGATCGTTTCTGCACCGAGTCTATTTTTG